AAAAAAAAAAATTTATTTTACCATAACTTTTAGCTCAATTGGTAAGTTTGACATTGACATAATTAAATAGAAAATTTTATGACAATTAAAAAAATTGTATCGTTAAGATCAATATGCAGTCAGAAAGTTTTATAATTACTATTTATTGTAAATTTATCAGAAAAGCTCAATATTTTTTTGCATTTTTATGGTAATAGATAACTTAAATAGAAGTAATAGTAATAATTTCCTAGGAACTTTTGTTGTTTGTTGAAAAGATTCTATAATTGAAATATTGAGAACTTAATTAATTTTAATGATTTACTTTAACTAAATGTACCAATCAAAACAAAGTTGTTAAAAAGATTTACTCAATTGAGTTTATTATAAAATTTGATTATATTTGTAAAAATCAATTGTTAATTCAGGAGAAAAAACAATCATTTTTTTTAGAAATGATTTATATAGCAACACGTTAGAAAAAAATTTGAATATTATAGTCTAATAGTAGCACACACAAACAGAGTAATAAAATTATTAAATTACAAAGTAAAATGATTTAATTTTGTAGTTGAAACCTATCATATCAAACTTCATTCGTTAATAAATATTTTGAAAACATTAGAAATTAATGATTTTAATTGTCTTTATGGAGACGATGTAATAACTAACTGTTTAATTGATAAATTAGAATTTTTTTTTCAATTTTTGAGAGTAATATCTTCAACTAGATACGAATTGTAGTAATTTGACGTATTGTTGAAAAAAGTAGGTCAAGTTAGAGCAGAGAAAATAAATGATAGTCACAAAAAAATATCTTCTCGGCTTTGCATCGAAGCGAAAACTTAAAATATAGTAAAATAATTTTAATACGAATAAGAAATTTCTTCTTGCAAGGGGCGACTAAAGTGATGGGATCCTTGATCTTTATTGAAGTTATTGAATCTAAATGTGATAAAAATCAAACGAGTTAAAATTTATACTAACTTAAAAAGAATTAAGAAAAAATGCAAAAAATTCATTGCCATATGCGGGTTGGAACCTCGTACCCCAAGCGTGTAAAACATAAATTTTACCAACTCGGCAACCGTACGTTGCTTCCGGCGGTTGAAAAATTGGCTATTTAAGCTAGTTCAAATTTCAAAGTTATTTTTCTCGACTTAAAAGAAACAAACATATTTAAATAAGTTTAACTATCTATACTATATCAATTTTAATTTATATAATATTTATGAAAATCTGTACTCCCCTTGTCAGGTATTTTAAAATAAAATAAAATACAAAACCCAGAATTTTAACACAAAAATAGCATATTTTTGCATACGGTAGTCATTTTTACCATGAAGACAAATCCAGAGGTCAAATTTTTTTTTTTCACATTAAAGTATATTACATAAGCTTTAATTTAAGATATATTTAAAAGTGTCAGTATTTCCGGAATACTTTCAAAAATTAAATTGAAAATATCGTAGTAACAATACGCATGTTTAAAGTTTTGACCCCCCTTGTTAAAGGGGTATGATCCGATTTACAAAAAAAGCGTGCCAGATGAAAGGGGTATATAAATATTTATTATAAAAAAATAATAATATTGATCCATACATTTTTCCAAAAGTTATATAAAATATAAATTAAATAATATAACATATAAAATCGAGATTTTTTTCACGGAAATCGTACGTTTTTCTTTAACTTTGATGTCCGTTTTCACCACGAAGACAAGTCCAGAGGTCAAATTTTTTTTTTTCAAATTAAAGTATATTACATAAGCTTTAATTTAAGATATATATAAAAGTGTCAGTCTTTCCGGAACATTTTCAAAAGTTAAGTTGAAAAAGTTCTACTTTCTATACGCATTTTAAAAGGTTTGCACCCCCCCTGTATAAAGGGAAATGGTCCGATTTTAAAAAAAAGTATGTCGAATGAAAGAAGTATATATAAAGTATTTATCATTAAAGAATAAAGTTGATTCATGCATTTTTTAAAAAGTTATAGCAACATAATGTTAAAAAATGTAAAATATAATATCAAGAATTTTTTCACAAAAATAGCATATTTTTGCATATGATGTTCGTTTTCACCACGAAGACAAGTCCAGAGGTCAAATTTTTTTTTTTCAAATTAAAGTATATTACATTAGCTTTAATTTAAGGTATATATAAAAGTGTCAGTCTTTCCGGAACATTTTCAAAAGTTAAGTTGAAAAAGTTCTACTTTCTATACGCATTTTAAAAGGTTTGCACCCCCCCTGTATAAAGGGAAATGGTCCGATTTTAAAAAAAAGTATGTCGAATGAAAGAAGTATATATAAAGTATTTATCATTAAAGAATAAAGTTGATTCATGCATTTTTTAAAAAGTTATAGCAACATAATGTTAAAAAATGTAAAATATAATATCAAGAATTTTTTCACAAAAATAGCATATTTTTGCATACGGTAGTCATTTTCACCATGAAGACAAGTCCAGAGGTCAAATTTTTTTTTTTCAAATTAAAGTATATTACATTAGCTTTAATTTAAGGTATATATAAAATTGTCAGTCTTTCCGGAACATTTTCAAAAGTTAAGTTGAAAAAGTTAATTTTTTGTAAAAAAGTTACCATTTTGAAACCCCATCCTTTGGGCTGTTAAAGGGTCAAATGTTCACAAAAATATATAAAATGATAGGTAATTATCTAAGGTATCTATAAAAAAAAAAATTATATTGATTCGGTCATTTTTAAAAAAGTTATGGCAATTTTAAGTAAAAAAAATTGAAAAAATATCGAAAATTAGCGATTTTTAAATTTGTAATTTTTTGGGGGATTTCCCCCGTTTACGGGGAACGAGGGAATTTTTTTCAATTTTTGAGGGTAATGTCTTCGACTAGATACGATTTGTGATCTTTTGACATATTGTTCATCAAAATCGGTCCAGCGAGAGCTGAGATTGAGCGTTCACAGATACAAAAAAAAAAATTAAAAATTAAAAAAAAATAAAAAAACACATCATAGTAAAATTAATACCTTCTCAGCTTCGCATCCAAGCAAAAAAGAAGCAAAAAGGAGGTGCTATATTAACAAGATTAATAATGGGTAGAACAGGGGGGTTTCACGTTATACTTGTTGTTGGTTGAGTTGCGGAGTGATGGCCCACCACCGGCCATAGTTGCGCCTCACATCACAATCATCATCATTATCACCATCTCGACGTTTTGTTTAAAAAAAAAACGGAGGACAAAAATACAGCCTGGTTGACACCACAAGTAGACGGCNAACGGAGGACAAAACAAATACAGCCTGGTTGACACAAATAAAATATGAACAGAAAACGTGGTTTTTACAGTAAAAATTATTTAGAACACATGACTTGTCGCCTCGGTAGTATAGCTGGGAAAAAAATCATTTGAAGCGGCATTTGTGTAGTGGCCGGTGATCGTGACGCCGGGTGGTGGTGGTACCAACTTTGACAAGTCCATTGGGGGGAAATACAACACTATGGGTATAGGTGCATTGTGTACGGTCAGCTGATGATGACAGATATCGGACCGGTTGACAAGTGGAGGTTATCATATACAAAATTATTAAAATACTTTACACCTACTGCACACATATCTAATTGATAAGATTTAAATATATAAAAAAACTCATATAAATTCTGCAACATTACACCCTTTTTCATTCGATATACTTTATCATAATCAGGATATTAATAAGGAACTAGCAGTTTTAATAGCTTTTGGATTAATCCACAAATTTTTTAAAATTAAACACTATCTAATTATTTGCATCGATGCGTTTTTTATGATAGTGATTTTAATCACTGTCAGATATCATTA